ATCAGGGCGGGCTTCAGGTCTGGACCCGTTGGGCTTCGTTGTACAGGGCATCCGTCTCACGCCGCACTTAAAGCGGTCCAGGCACACATGCTCTGGGATCGAAGTGCCACCACAGTAGCTTTTTGCATTCACCATGAACCAAAATCTAGCACAACGGGCAACCTAGGCCAAGATAAGCCGATACTCTAAAAGGCAACAGCTACTGAGGACCTTTGGCCCCAAATCGCGGTCCCGGCCTGTAGCATGGCCAGGCGCTGGGCGATGATTTTAGGGTCAATTGCGCCATGCAAAAGCTCAGCCTCCAGGGTACAATCCTAGCAAACCCTACAGAGCCTTACGACCGGTAACAAACGGAACCCATTCTTCCGAAACAGGTTCACTCTGCGGCTCTGAACAGACTGCACTTTGATGTCCTACCGATATCAGCCTATGCAAAGCACCGGTACACAGGCCTGAAGCTTGGCCCTCGTAATGCCAGCCACTACGTGTAATGCAGAACTAGACTTCTGGCTGTACATGTTGTTCCTAAAAGCTCCTCAGCTCACAGAACGGCTACCCACGGATCTCTGAATAGCATTGCCAAAGCAAATGCTACATCCGTCAACACATTGTTCTTGCTAGTGCTGGTACCCTCCGCTCCTGCTGGTGTTGCTATTGCTGTCACCGTCGCTGCCATCGGCATCACCACGCCCATACGCATAAGCAACTCCCAAGTTTAGCTGCAAGTGCCACCTGCAGCTTGCCCGCAGCCACAGGCAACGACGGGCAGTTGGCTTCGGGGACATGCGCCTCGCGGTTTGAGACGAGAGCTTTGCAAAAGCAGACAGGGATGCGGGAGCGCGGCCGAACTCGCGTACCGGGGTGTGGAACACGCGACTGCTCAGCGCCATGAGGGAAGTTCAGCAATATTGAACTGTACCAAACCGAATCGTACAACCTGTTCCTCCAAAACATGAGGACGAGCTTTAGACAAGGTGCCCTACACGGAAGGGACAGGGCTAAACGAATCACATGCGAAGTCCATCCCATTCCACCTGCTTAACGTCCCTGTACATTTGCTTTTGGTTTTTGCAGGCATTCACGAGAAAACACGCATCTTCAGGTTTCGCATGCAGTCCAGATGGCATTCGACAGTGTTGACACACTTGGAGGCAGTGCCAAGTTTCCGAGTTGAACGGTTAAACCGAGAAGTACCACAGCATTAGTGTGCAATGCTGCGGCACCTTTTGAGAACTTGCTTCAAGGAGACCACTTCCTTTGCTGGCTTCAAGCTTCCCAATAGCAACAAACTTTTACAGCAATGCCGCGGCTCACAACTCTAAATGGGCAGCGCAACAGTCAAACACACGCAATGCTAGATGCCTCTCAGCTGCCTACGCAGTCCGGAGACAGCCCGCAACACTTCGACACAACTGTTGTTTTCAGTCTCAGTTCGCAAAAGCGAGGAAACTTGTGAGTGATGCCGCGGCCCCTGTGAACCCTCTACAAGCAGAATTAACCTGCCATCAGAGTCATTGTAATAGCCGGCAGACAGACGACACTACCACTACACCACCAGTCTACAAAGCTTGCTCAGGTCCGTTCAAGGTGAGATTGCCTCCGACACCCTCCATTTGAATCATTGCGTCCACTACTCATGCACTATGCACTGACAGCCGCTGGGTCGTCCTCAAGAAAACCGTCTCACGGAGTTCCCGTCTAGTCTAGTGGTGTCCGACACGAGGTAATTCGAAGCACTTAACACGAACCCGTCGGCACAGGACAGTAACGAATGGCGCTGGGAGGGCCGGACCCGGGCACCCATGGCACAACAAAGGTGTCCGCGTGGTGTACCTAGCTGTAACAGTCTGCGCCTTGTCTTGAGAAACAAGTCTGCCCGGCGACTTCAGGATAGGCGTCCCCCTGGCCCTTAACCACTAGCCGAGTCCTTGTTGCGCACTCACAGAAACGAAAAACAAGAAAAGTTGAGGAAATGCGAAAAGATGCGAAGAGAATTCGTCCGGTATTCATAAGGCATCGCGTCTGGAGAAGTCGAGGAAAGGCGAAGCATCAGGCCACGTCTCGAAAACTTTCTTCAAGGCAATCAAATTCAGAAGACCGCCGAATTCGGGGTAGCACTGACCAGTGTGCCTGTTACTCCTCCTCCACTCCTCGACCTCAATACGGAGCTGGCTGTAGCCGACCTCGCCTCATTTCGGACCACCTTCGTTCGGTTGGCTTTGAGCTCATCTTCCACAATCTTCTCCTTCAGGGCTGGGATCTGATTTTGAACCACACATTAAAGATCCTGCCCTGGGCTTATATACTGTGCCAGCAGTGCTCCAACTGATAGAAATTATGTCTAAACATGTTACTGGATACCGAGATCGACACAAGGGACTCTGGCATGTGAAGGCTCCAAGCCGTGAAAGGCCACGCGAAGTTGCAGACACCCACTTTGGAGTCAGCCCTTTCTGAGGTTAGGCAACAGCAGCAGCACCAGTGGCAGCACCAGTGCCAGTAGAAGTAACACCAGCACTAGCAGCAGGAGTAGTGGAAGTAGCGCGCGTTGTCGTCGATATTTATGGTGCGCTTGCGGCTATCATGGTTGTTGGTGTCGGACCTGTGCGCGTTGCTGCTGCTGCTGCTGCTGCTGCTGATGCTGCTGTTGCTGGTACTGTTGCTGTTGCTGTTGTTGCTGCTGTTGCTATTGTTGCTTTTGTTGTTGATGATGTTGTTGCTGCTGCTTGGTGCTGATGGTGTTGATGCTGCTGTTCATGCGGATGTTGATGTTGATGTTGCTGTTGGTGCTCGTGTTGGTGTGAGTGTCCTGTTGGTGGTGTTGTTGGTGGTGGTGTTGCTGCTGTTGTTGCCGTTGTCGTCATTGTCGTTGTTCTTGCTGATTCCGTTGTCATTGTCGTTTCTGTTGTCGCTGCTGTTGCGATTGTCGCGGTCGTCGTCGTCGTGGTCGTCGTGGTGGCCGTCCTGTTGCTGAGTCGTGGTGGTGAGTCGTGGCCGTGGTCGTTGTCAGTGTGGCTTTTTCACATTCTCGTTGTCGCTGTCGCTGTCCCTGGGGCTGTCGTGGTCGTTCTTCTTCCTCTTCTTCTTCTTCTTCTTCTTGGTGATGGTGGTGGTGGTGGTGCCGTCCGTCGTGGCTGTTGTGTTCCTGATCGGTGTTCAAGCCCTCATTGGGCTAAACAGGGCTCTTGGCTTTACTACTCCAGGCCGCACGTGAGTTGCGATGATCACAGGCAGCAAAGGTTGATGCCGTTGATGGTCTGAGAAAGTCGAACAAACCGTCCGAAGGCTGCCAAGAGGCCCAGGGTACATGTTGCAGCTCGACCCGAGGCAGCTCATTGAGCATGATCTCGGACAGCGACACCTTTTGCGGCGACGACACAGAGCATGGGCTTTCTTGTACAGAATTCATGACAGACACCTTGTGCCTTCTCCGCTACGGCTTTGCGATGACGACAGTGCAGATGACCATCACGATGACGATGTTGATGATGATGGCTATGGGGACGAGCAACAGGTGAAGGCAGCATTACAGCCATTCCGAGCACGACAACGAACGGGACGACGAGGAGGCTTATCATGGTCAGGACGATGGAGTTGGTGGAGTTGGAGGTGGAGTGCTGCAGGGGGCAGAGCGGTGGCAGTGGCGACGGCAGTAGCGCAGATGGTGGAGGAGGAGGAGGAGGAGGACACTGACGAGGATAACGACGACGATGAAGAAGAGGAGGAAGATGACGATGATGATGAGGATGATGATGGGTGATGGCGATGATGGCGATGATGGTAGTGATGGTGGTGATGGTGATGATGGAGATGACAGTGATGGTGAAAATGCTAATGATGGCGATGATGGTGATGATGATGGTGGTGATGACGGTGATGATGGTGATGACGTAACTGGTGATGACGACGATGATGATGATGCGGCAGAGCAGGAGGAGGAGGAGGAGGAGGAGGAAGAGAGGAGGAGGAGGAGGAGGAGGAGGAGCACGGTAATATTCTTGGTAACGCACATTGCCAGGCGACACACGCGGATAAAACAGCCGACGGAGAAGTAGGACGACCAAAGCGAACGTAATACTTATTTTGATAATGGCCGTGGTAGCTGTCATGGCAGTGCTAGTGACGATGCTGATCACGAAGATGATGATCATCGTAGAGGTCATGGTGCACAGCAAACCAATCTGAAGTACCCAGAAAAGGAGTATTGTTGGAAGCAAAGACATGTAGCAGCTGTAGAGTCTCTAGAGGGCAGGAAAGGTTTGCTAACCAGGGTCCAGGAGCTCTCTGGCTGTTGCGATAAACTCGCGGAGCACCGGGTCCGATGAGTCCTTCGTGCCTTGGTCTCTGCCGAGCAAGTTGTGGAGGTAGGGCTAGAGTTAGAGGTTGCCACGACTTTGCCACCCTGCGATTTCTCAAACTCTGTAAGTTCTCAGTCTGCAGCTCCTGCTTCGACTCCTGCCCCCTTTCCTGCCTCTCCTTCCTTCTGCTTGTGCTGCTGATACGACTAGTAAACCAATACAAGACAGATGATGCGTGGTATCACACGTGACGGATATTGCAACCTCAAGGAAGCATGCTCTGAGAATGCAGGGCGTGGGTCGTGACAAGATTTGGGCGACGGCTTGGGGTTACCAGTCGAAGTGTTCAACTCAGAACCAAGCATGCTACAAAGAACAAAACCGTAAGCCTTCGCTTACAGAAATATCCGAGGAACGCCAAAATCACAAGCCCTAAGCCGCAAACCCCGCATTGGAACCCTAAAAATCATAGAGACCCGAAGCGGTAAGATCTAGAGTCCTCTAGATCTCGCACGCAAAACACTGTGCATACAAACCAACAAATGTTCTGGAATCGCGAAGAAGCAGGCTTCAAAAGGTGCATCCCACGCCCCCGACCCAAGATTGAGTGATCTGACGTTTTGAGCCTTGATTGAGCCTTGAGGGTGCCCCACAGCCCGGTCCAGCAATTACCCCAAGCTCCACAATCCCTGTCTAGCCGCCCCCTCGTCTTGAGCAGGTGCAGAAGGTTCCTGAAAGCTGGGGGAGACAAGGGGTAAGGGCTCCTCCGGCAGTTTTCGGCTGTCAAGGCTGTGGTTCAGGGTGAAGTTTAGCTTCCGGATCAGTGCGTCAGCAGCAAGGATCTGAGACTTTAAGACCTGGGTTTCAGGTTTCAACATCGCTAACCTCAGACAAGGTCACAGCCGAAGAATGGAGCGGCAATGCGGCAGAAAAAAACTAAACGAGCGAAGCAGCAAAGAGCGACCCTGCAGAGATGCTCGCCCGGCATATCCTCAGCAAGACATCATTGCCAGCCCTGGCTCTGAACTTTTGGGGTTGCAGGGAAAAGTGAAGAGCTGTGTATCTGTGCTGCAAGTTCACAGTACAGAATTCGGGGCGAGGCAAACTGTGCGGAGTATGAAGGTGGCGGGATGTGGGGATAAGGCTTTGGGCAAAGAGGGAAGCTTGTTTTCTCGGAAACGTCACTGCCATGCCCCTGGGTCCCATATCACAGATTGTCGTCGGAGACTAGTCGAAACCCCGCGATTGTCAGGTCCGTGCGAAACTTCCCAAAGTTCCTGACCTCAAAAAGGCCTGGCATAAACAAAGAAACCGAAGCAGTGTGCCGGCAAAACGGAACCGTCATCCCGAGCAAGATGACGGTAATCTTGGTCAGGCGGTAAACGCTGGGGACGTTGAGCAACGTGGCACGTCATCTTGGTAATCGTGGTGGGGCGGCAAGATAACACGTAATCTTGGTAATCTAGGTCTGCACTGTTCCAGTGCCCGGGGATATACGTAATCTTGGTCATCGTGGTTGGCACGTGGTGCAAGTGGTGCAAGCGGTGCAATTGGTGCAAGATTACCAAAGATTATGTGTAATCTTGCCGCGACCCCCTCGATGTGTGCGCCGGGCGCGCCCCTAAACGCCTGCCAAACCGTATGAGCGCGCCCTGCGCATGCGCGTCCCTAAGCGCATTGGTACTAATACTAAGACTAAGGCTAATACGAATACTGATACTCATACTCATACATACTCGAACTAAATGCTGATGCTAGTACTAATACAAGTACTAATACTAATACAAAAACTAAACAGCTTCTAATCGGTACTAAAATGGGGCCTAAAGTTAATACAAGCACAAATGCTGAGAACACCAATACTTGTTCCTTTCGGAATACCAATACCAATAATACCAACACTAACACCAATGCAACAGCAATACTAATACCAGTACCTATACCGATACCGAAACAAACACCAATACCACTTCTACTACTACTACTACTACTACTACCACCACTACCACTGTTCACCACTACCACTACTACTACTACTACTACTACTACTACTACTACTACTACTACTACTACTGCTACGACCAATACCAATACCAATACAAATGCCAATACAAATACCACCACCACCACCCCGACTACTACTACTACTACTACTACTGCTACTACTACTACTACTACGACTACTACTACGACTACTACTACGGCTACTATTACGACTACTACTACTACTACTACTACTACTACTACTACTACTACTACTACTACTACTACTACGACTGCTGCTACTACTACTACTACTACTACTACTACTACTACGACTACCACTGCCACTGCCACTGCCACTGCCACTGCCACTGCCACTGCCACTGCCACTGCCACGGCGACTGCTACTGCTACTGCTACTGCTACTGCTCCTGCTCCTGCTCCTGCTCCTGCTCCTGCTCCTGCTCCTGCTCCTGCTCCTGCTCCTGCTCCTGCTCCTGCTCCTGCTGCTGCTGCTGCTGCTGCTACTGCTACTGCCACGACTACTACTACGGCCACTACTACTACTACTACGACGACTACTACGACCTACCACCACTACTGCACACCTAAACCGACGCTTGTGCGCCCCTAAACCCACTGATACTGATATACTGATATTTATGCTAATACCATTACTGTTACCAATACTAGTACTAATACTAACACACACACACACTACTAACTACTTCTTACTACCACTAACTTCTAATTACTAACGAAAACCCCTATAAACCCTAAACCGATGCTCGCGCCGCAACCCTAGACCCTAAACTCTAAACCCCAAACCCGACAAACCATAAACTCCAAAACCCCGAAAAGCCAAACCCCTACATCCCTTGACCCAAACCCCTAAACCCTAAAGCCAAACCCGTAAACCCTGAGCAAGATGATGCGCAACCGTGGAAATCTTGCTGGGGGATTCTGGTCGTGGAGGCTGGTAATCTTGATCAGCAACTGGTGGTGCAAGTGGTACAAGTGGTACAAGTGGTACAAGTGGTGCAAGTGCTGCAAGCGTTGCAAGATTTGCAAGATTGCCAAAGCTACGCATCGCGGTACAACCCTTGTGAAGGCCCCGCCAAGCCAGACGATCAACATGATAAGATTACCGACATAAAGGACCGTAGCAGCTTGTCGATATCAGATTCCTACAATATTCTTGGGTGCCATCTACATCTTGCGCGCCGACATCATTGATGAGATTGAATGCTTGAAACATAGGAAACTCCATGTTTGCATGCTGCCCTTTCGGCACGCGGCCCTCCAGAAGATGTGCCTATGGCCTCGAGGCTTGAAGCACCTCGGCCCCTGAAATGGAGACTCAGACAAGCTTCGGACATAAAATTGTCCGGCGTTCTCACTCTTCAGCACTGCGAGAAAAGCCTGACGCGACAGGTTGCATACATTTTGGGTTGTGCTGCTTCGATTGCAAGCCGTGGCAATTAAAAGCATGGCCGCCTCTGCTACTGGTAGCCCTAACAACGAGGCAAACGATGAGAATGACAATATTGCTGCTACTACTCACCCTACTCCTACTCCTACGACCACTACCACCACGACCACAACGCCTGTTCCATCACCACCGCTACTACCATCACACCACCACCACCACCACCACCACTACCACCACTACCCACTACCACTACCTCTACCAATGACACTTCCACCACCACTGCCACTACCACTGCTGCTACTACTGCCGCTACTGCTCCTACCCTGACTACCGCCACCACTACCACCGCCATCACTACGACCACCACCGCCGGTTCAACCAATAGTGTTGCCATCAATGTTACCACTTCTTCTGCCACCATCACCACCCACCACCACCACTACAACAACTAAGACGACGACAACTCCTCCTAGCAATCCAAGGAATCCAAGCAATGTAAAACCACCACCTTCTGCAGCGCAGCCCAGCCCAGACGCGAGTTCTGAACCCCATATCCATGGAGAAGGTGTTCCTTGTTTTTGTGTTTTCCCCCATCCTTCCTTCCCACATCTGCCTAGACTCTCCTCCGCATTAGCGCAGTGATATCGAACATAGTACAAGTACAGCCAAGGGGAACTAGCAACACAAGCATGAAATAACGAAACTCATAGATTACCTAAGCCACAAAACACAGGGCTCCACAATGTCATTTCTGTATCCATGATAGCCCAGAACCTACATCGCAAACAAAGTAGACCATACGTTGGTGCAGAGCAAAATGGACCTTAAACCCAAACAATGCCCTGGCACCTACAAGCCGAGGGCTAATCTAAGGATATCGACCTAAGGACTCCGATGCCGCGCTAGGCCTGAACACGCTTTCAGACCCTGAATGTATTTGATTGGGGTCGAGAATCAGGACTTTGAGTGTTGAGCGCTGGGATTGAGGTGTATTCTCATTTACCGACAAGTGCAAGTTGGAACATCCGAAATGCCTAAAACGCAAACTGCGTACTCACAAGAAACGCCGGGAAGCAAGCCTCTCGGACCACACGACCGGGATCTCACGAACGAAACCGCTAAACTCCTATGCCCGAAGCTTTCCAACTCAACACCCCAGACCTATCTGAATCCTTGAACTCGACTAATCTACGCAACCCAGACTTCGTAGCGTGTACGCACAACCACCGACCCCCCGCATCCCAAATCCAGAACGTGCCTTGCAGGACGAAGGGGTTTCAAAATTTACGAACCTGGACTCCAGGATCACATCGGAGCAACAATTTCTGGTTCTGGGCCCGTGTGGGAGGTTGCGGTTTGAAGAAGCCCGAAACCCAACACGTCACTGGGTTCCAAAACTGCTACATTAAACCCAAGAAACAATCGTTGGTTGGCTCTCGGGCTCATCTGTCTTGCTTCACTCTGGCCCTTTTGTCGTCTGGCTCGACCCTCTCTGTTTCCCGGCTCAGCCGTCTTCGCTTCCCTCCGTCAAGGCACCCGACTTCCGCAGCGTTGCTCCGGGATTTGTGCCCGTTTGACCAGGCCCTGCCCTGGGCCTCTGCTACTGTTGCCTTCGTCCTCAAATCCGAAACCCTAGAGCCTCTACCGAACAAACCTGGAACCCTGAAGCCGCTGCCCCTAAACTCTCGGCTCGGCTTTCCTAGCTGGTGATATCCTAAATCCCAACAACGTGCACTCCACACCCGAAACCCAGAAACCTGCCACCCGAAAATTTCAAACCAAACCCTACGGCTGATGCTCGAATCACGAATACTCGAGTCACGTGTGCTGGAATAGCATGTTCTAAAATCTGGTTTGGTGCTCCGACCATGGACGCTAGAACTGCTGGAGTAGTTGAACTGCTGGTACTTGAATTGCACTTGCTTGTTTTTTTACATGGTCGTGTTACAACAAACTGTCCTGTGTGCCAAAACAGATTGCTAATGACAGATGATACCATGTTGCTGTGGTATACTACACTTTCGCTTCGCCCATCATATTGTCCAAGAGCAGAAATTACAAATTATATGATACCATGAATCAGCGGGGTCTGATGTATTGAATCGCGACCGCTCGGTTCCCAAGTACGGAACAGAGCAGCTTCTCTCAGACTGTATTGTACGGTGTCATAACGGTACAGAACAGTACAGAACATGCAGCCACGGAACGCTAACCCAAGGTTAACATTGTCGTCCTCCCGGGCACATGGCAGGTAGACAAAATTGAACCTGGAGTTTGGCTTGTGCTTCCGATTTTGTGTTGCAGCATGCGCCTTTATGTCAGTATGTGCCTTAATGTCAAGAATTTAGGCTCGGCTACACGATCGGTTCTGGAAGCAGGTCGAAGTTTGCACTGATCATGTATGAATTGATTATGTATGCATATACTTGCACATATGTGTGCTTGTGTATGTGTGTGCGCGCATGCGTGTATATATGCGTATATAGATGTGTTTATACATATGTATATACATGTGTATTTGCATATGCATATACATATACATGTACATGTACATACACACATACATGACTGTACATGCATGTATACATATGTATATATATATATATGTAACATGTGTATACGGTACCCCCTCCCCCCATAGATCTTCCATTTTGTGGCTGGCTGCAGCCCTCCACACGCAAACAGTAGATCCTTGAGGGGAGGGCTCCACCCCAAGGATCCCGGGTATATACATATATATATATATATATATATGTAAGCCCAATATCTGCACATAGTTACATACATATATATATATATATATATGTATATCTATAGATTTACATCGCAAGCAGTATGACCAACGATGTTTCTATATTTACTGCACTACCTGTTGCAACTTCTGTTGCTGTGCTTAGCTGAGCAGCCGGCTTAGCACAACCGTTACTATGACTTGTTCCCCTTTCCAACTCCCTCCCCCCAAACTCCTTACTCTTCCCGGTTTCGGGGATAGGGAAATATGGCATTTGTGCGCAAAATGCTTTAGGTCGGCTTTAGGTTTCATGTTATTCTTTAGCATTTTCCCTTCAAAACTCCATCGGGAATGCAATGGGTAGATGTGTTGTTCCCATACAAGCCCCACAGATACACTTCTCCCCGAGACCCTGCTGGAATCATGCTGACTGTATGACAAGTTCCGGACTCTGTGCGAGCTTTTGCTTCAGGACTGCATCGAGATGTCGCGGCTCACAAGACGTCCCTGGTGCTCACAAGTTACATGCTGAAGCCTTGGAGCTCAAGATTTGGATTTATGGCCAAGGACGTCACTGGGGCTCTGGGATTCTGCTTTCAATCTTAGGCAGCCGAGCAACGTTGTGAGCTCCGGGGATTTACTGCCTCACTTGTGGCATGGAGGATGAAGGTTGGGAGAAAGTGTCTAGAAACAGGTCTGAGAAAGCCATATGAATCGGAGGCCCCCTAGTGGCTAACTTGTTGGAACTATCTTTCAGCTGAAGATGTTGTCGTTGAGAGTTTGGGCTATCGTTTGTTGCGACGACCTCGCACGTTTCGTTCGCCTCTTACGGCTCACAAAGAAACTGTCGACGATGTGTCACCGACAAAGGCCGCAAACGAACATCTGGACTTCATCATCAAACAGTCCGCTGGCTCGCATCGTCTCGCACGAGAAGCACCGCTGGACGGCTGGGATGATGGGCGACTCACACTTTGGGCTGCCGAGAAGATCCCGAAGCAGCCAAAAGTACAAAAACACTTTGTAAAGGCAATCTGGCACGTGGAGTCTCGGTTTCAAAGGATCGAAGCAGACAGGCACAGCAATGTCTTCGGCGGCAGTGCACACTGCGAAAGGCGTCAACAGCACGAGTTGGCCGAGGATTCAGTGTCAAAATGACAGCATGTGACATGTGTACGGTACACAGTGTACCTTGGGTCCTGAAGCTTCACGCATCTTCAGGCTCTCTGAATGTAGGAGCCGTGGGCTTCTGACAACTTCTTGCCAAACAGCCAAGGTTCATGTTTGCTGCAACAGCGAGGTGAACATGCCGACGGAATGCTGACCTGGCGCCGGACAAACTAATGCGGCCGTGTTTGGGCGTCAACCTGGAACATACATGACACTGACAACACACTCTCATGACTTCGAATGTCTACAGTATCTATCTGCCCCAGGTATGCATCTTAATGCCTACAAGCGACCCAGAGGAAGCTTATGCAGTGACCCGGTTTTCTCGGTATAGCATTCTACATTGACCTTGATGAGACCTGGTTGTAGAAAAAGCGTCGCAAGCAGATCGTGACTCTGCCTTGCAAGACCGATATTGCGCTGCGGCTTGAACGCCTGAACTGTGACGTTTACACGGTCACGCATGTAAAAAGGTGATCGTCTGTACCTGGGTACAATGCAAATCACACCAGGAACAAGAATGTACTTACCGGCAGCTAGCCAAACCAAGGGACATAAACAGCCAAGCAGGCAAACAACGAACCAAGATACAACAGATGAGTGGGCAGCATCACTGTCCAGAAAGGAGCTTGGCGACATGGAAAATCCCATAGCAGCTCGCGGTAGTCAGAGTTGCTCTCTGGTTCTTCATCGTGCGCGGGTACCCAAAGCGTGCCCGATAAAGGCACAAGAGTCGTAGCATTAGGTTAAACTGAAAGAGCAAAGGCTTGAGCGTGGACCCTTGAATTCTGAAGCCCGAGCAAACAAGGTCTGGGGAACGATGCACACCGCGCATGATGATGGTGGTGTCACTCGAGCGGGTATGGCCGATCTGCTGAGACCACATGATCCGACACCTGAGGATCAAGGAGCTTTGATGGCTCTTTGCTGAATGTGGGCCAGGGCACACAGTGCAAGAGATCTCACTTCATGCTCAGTCATGACCTGGGGCTGAAAGTGCTCAAGGCCAGGGTTTTAGGTTGTACAAAACCGAAGGCGCCGGAGTCCCGATCCCTCTCCCAAGACCGCAAAGAACTGTGCCGCCAGAGACACGGTCGGGCGGATTGCTGCTGGCTATCTACGGCAAACTAGCTTCGAAGATTTGGGACCCCAATCTGAGCCAAGCAGCGGGAGGAATTTGCTTTCAAGGGTCCGAATTGCTAGGATGCTTGCCGAAGCCTGGCTCCCGGAAGACATTGCGTGGGCTCCTTCGTGGGCAGGGGGACCAAAATGAACCAGTGAATCAAGATGAAATGTGTCATGGGTGCTTCCAGACAACCCAGCCCAGGGATAGACCTCAACAAAAAGACGTAAAATGCCTGACCGCACCAGCTCCCCACATCTATCCCGGGGCGCTGGTCTGGTGGGCAGCGAAGTATCAACTCTTGAAAAAAACTTCAAAGCCAACAAATGAAGCGAAGCATAGCGAGGCCTATCCTGGGCTCATTCAAACAAATGAGCAGGCTGAGCTTTCGTAGTCAAGTGTGATGGGCTTGATCTGGCAAATCGAACACAAATTACAAAACAGAACCCAAGCACGGTCCCTGAGAGCATTGCATATGCTTGGGTTCACTTTAGACATAAGCCTCAAAGCAACAGACACACGAAGAACAGACTTGCACAGCATGGCAAGTACCCTCTCAGAAGCTTCAAAAGAAAAAGCCCAGCTGTGAGATGAGGTAGAGACGGCTTTGCAGCAGGCGGCCCTGATTGCAACTCACGGCGCAGTCGCTCTCCAGCCTCCGCTAACGGTTCCGATTTGCCTTCTGCTTGGGGAGAATGACTTTGCATTACGATTGTGAAAGTTCGTGTTAAGACTCTGCTGCAACCTTCTTGTATCCAAAGCGAATTTCCATATGCCACTCCTGCTACTGGGTTTTACAGGTCGACACAAGAAAACCTGAACTCACACCAGGAGGCAGTTAAGCCTTCGATAGGCACTGAGAGCTGCATTCCGGCTCTTTGCCAAGACCCCTCGGAAGCCGGAAGCCTGAACTCCAAACCCCAACTCGGAGGCTTTACAATCACTCCGGGCTTCGGGTTATGAGGCAGGATCAAGGCCAACAAATGAGGCAGGGATACAGCCATCATGTGAAGGCTGTAAGCACCCCGCGTCCCCACGCAGAATGCACAGCTGCTGTGGCACAGGATCTGTTCAACCTGCACGAGGCTGGACGGGCAGGCCCCCACTCAAAATGCAAAATCTTGCATGCAGTATCATTGCTCCTCCCCAGTTTCTGGACATTCTTATTCCTCGAAATCACGTAGCTGGGTCCCACCGTGCAGTCGTCCAACGCTAGCAAGATGAACCAAGCAAAACATAAACTGGGAGGAAATCAGTAGCAACAGTACACGTAAAACTATCAGCATCACAATCAGCACCACTTCCACCACCATTGTCACCACCTGGCGACTACCAGCGCTGGCATCATCATCGCCAATCTCATAAGAATCATCCTCAAAAATATCACCAGCATCATCTTCGTCATCACAAGCATGATCGTTGCGGATGTCATCTCAATTGACATTGCAGTCGTGACGGTCGTGAAAATCCACGCATTCCTCGCAACCAGCACTTTCAACGATTAGACACCGTATATATGACCGTCACAGGCATCACGTCCACAACCACCATCATCACCCACACCACCATCATTATCACTGATGCCCACATGGCCGTTGCTTATGTGCTGATCAATTCCATGGCTTCTTTCAATCCACTACGGACGTTTTCTTTCGGGTATTGAGGCTTCTCGACGGCCGTGCTTCTCCATCGGCTATGAGCTATGACAGTGGTTGCTGAATTTCCGCTGGGTGCGCGAGGTACTTTGATGAGTATCTGCGCTGATGACGTCTTTCATATCATGCCTCCTGGATATCGGCCATGCAGCTGTCTACCGCTACCACTGCAAACACACATTACCGCTACGAGAACTGCAGTACTGCTACAGCAGTTCTACGGTACGACTACAAAACAAATACAATTCTACAAAACCACAGCACTGCTATCCGGAAATGTACTACAGGACTACTGCAACACTCCTACAACATGACTGCTGCTACTGCCACTGCGACTGCCAACTACTCTACTGCCACTGCTACTACTACTCCTCCTCCTACTGCTGCTACTACTACTCCTACGACTCCTACGACTCCTACTACTGTTACTACTGCTACTACTACTACTACTACTGCTACTACTACTACTCCTACTACTCCTACTGCTCCAACTACTCCTACTACTCCCACTGCTCCTGCTGCTCCTACTACTCCTACTCCTCTTCCTCCTCCTCCTCCTCCTCCTACTACTACTACTACTACTACTACTGCTACTGCTACTGCTACTGCTACTGCTACTGCTACTGCTACTGCTACTGCTACTACTACTACTACTACTACTAGTACTACTACTAGTACTTCTACTAGTACTACTACTACTACTACTACTACTACTACTACTACTACTACTACTACTACTACTACTACTACTACTACTAGTACTACTACTACTACTACTACTACTACTACTACTACTACTACTGCTACTGCTACTGCTACTGCTACTGCTACTACTACTACTACTACCACTACTTGTACTACTACTCCTCCTGCTGCTGCTACTACTACTCTCCCACTCGTGGTCCTACTCCCTCCTGCTCTTGCTCCTACTACTACTTCTTCTTCTACTACTACTTACCACCACAACCACCACTACCTGATGCTGCTCTGCTTACTATCAGACCATGCCGAGTATGGATCCTTGTACAGCTGCGGCTTCTGTTGGCATTGCTCTCGATAGGACAACTTCTGCTTCTGCCGCTGCGGTGGTGTTTACTGTCTTGGCTGTTGCTGTCTCATCGCCTGCAGGGGACGCCCAACTGAAATAGCCCTCACAACTTTGCAAAGCTTCTAATCGAAATGGAGGTCCTTCCAGGTGTTGATCACTGCGGAGGCGGCACATGCCCGCAAGGTCATGCAAGTGTCCACGGCCTGACACAAACTCCGGGGATGAGGAGGTGCAGGTTAGGGAGATGCATTACCTGTATTTTACGGTACGGCTGCGACGAACTTCCGTTTTCAAGATTCCCAGCATTCCTAGCAGCAAAGCTTCTCTGGCTTGACCAGCATTGAGGATACCTTTGAGTGCTCTCAGGCCGTGAGAGCAAGACTTACACGAAGTGCATCCGGAGCGTGCTCTATTCCCAGAATCCAGGCCGGACATGTACACAACATGACTGTGCATCCCTCCGGGAAGGCATTGGCTCCAGGATTGAGCTTCTGCATAGACGGCACACGTAGGAAAGGATGGAACCAAGCTCAAAGTGAGGGCCTCCCGGCGAGATGCAGGCCTGCTTGTGCACGACGGCCGTTCCGATGCCGAAAACCCCGGTCGCTGTGGATCCCTCGTAGACCACCGTGCCTGGGCTTCCCGCTTCAGAGCTCGACTTACTTGACCTCATAGCCTGCGTGCAGCCATGGACAGACCGGCAAGCCCTCGCACTGCAGCCGCAGGGAGACTCAAAATCAAACCGGAGTTCCTCAAGATGCTCGCAACATGCAAGCCCGAACTCCCTGCATAATATGCCGATTCGGTTGAGCCAATACTGGGCTCGCTGCCGTCCTCCAATTTCAGGCAACTGACTGTCTCCCTTCGATGGAAGAGCGGGCTCAGAGGCTTCAGGGCGGAGCAGAAGCGCCAACTTCAGAGCAGAAGGATCAAAACCAAAAGCTTTGGAGTTCGGAGGAAAGCAAGGGGTCGGGTGGCCGAGGCAGCCAGCTACATAGGTAAATCTTGCAGAATGAACCGCGCTCCCGGAGGTAGTTTAAAGCCCCAAAACCCCAAACTCCTAAACCCTGAATCTCAAACCGGTCTCCCAGAAGCGTTCAAGTCGTAAGATCGGCTGACAGCTTTGTCATGATAAGTACCTCTGCAATCCTTGTATTCATCGGGGCTCAAGATGGAAACAAGCGCCTGCGCTGCTTGAAGACTCAAACCAAGCAAAAGCAAGGAGTGCGTGCGGAAATACAACGGCACACACTGTCCGCAAAAAGGGCCACGAAGAGAACCATAGCTGTTGAAGGTTTCGCATGCAACACAACTAAACTTCAAAAGACATGTCTTTCAACTGCTGCTCTTGCTGACACCTACTACTACCACTGCTGCCACAACCCCCTGCCCCGACCATGCTGGGCGCCGGGCCCCAACGGGTCACCTACAGTGACCTAGCAAGAAGCTCTACACGCTTGCAATTTAGGGCCGCTTAAAGCTTGCGGTTCAAGCTTCACGTTTCTGAGTCTGCCATTACGCTGCAGTTGGCACCCGACATTAGCTCAAAATGTGTGTTACCTTTCGCGCCTGTTGCTCTGCCTACTTTTGGTGGGATCTGTCCCGGAATTCTCCAATCTTTCAGATTCGAGCCCGGACGTTGTTGGCGATTCAGGTGCGTTCAGAGTTCGGAGTCTCGCCCGCGATGTTAGGGATTGTTGGGGTTTGGGACGGTTTGGGTGTCAGGGTGTTGAGCATGCGCAGCTTCTTCAATGCGTCAGCAGTCACGTTCAACGGAACCTTCCCTCATTGCACGAAGACACTTAATCCACAGCTGCGCTTCCTGAAGCTCCAGGCTGCACCCTGCTGCAAACCCGAAATCCTTCCGTGCTTGGGAATCGTCATACCCGGACCATACTGCACAACAGAAACTCTCAGTGTCGCAAAATTCAGGACGCCTTCGCCAAGGACAGAATCAAGTAGATGCTGTCCGAAGGAGTCCATGGAGACCAACACTATGAATTGCCATATGCAATACATGGAGATACATGGAGTATCCCGGGCATTCTAGTTAGTCGCCG